GCAAATGTATTTACTTTTTGAAAATATGGAAGCAGGAGACAGCAGCATGTGCCTATAGTCCTAACTACTCAGGAGGCTGAGGCAGGAGGCACAAGGCCTGCCTGGGAAACATCATGAAACTCCCATTAAAGGGAAAAAGAAAAGAAAAAAAAAACCAAAAAAACACAGGACCAGAGATTTAGCTCCATGGTTCTGCCGCCCACTTTGCAAGTGCAAGGACCGGAGTTTGATCCTTGGTACCTAAATAAACAAATAAATAAATAAATTTAAAACTCCTTTTCCATTAAAAAAAAACAAACACAAATTTTTCTTGCTACTATGATGGATTAACTAGTATCTGACTAACTCTCCTACCCAAAGTACCTATGAATTCTGAATATATCTAATAAAAATGATTGTTTGGAGGCAGAGCACCAAAGCAGCCACAAATCAAACAATCTTGGTTCCAGACAGAAAGGAAATGTGATAAAATGAGCCTGACATTCCAATGCAACTTCCTCTCAGGCTTTGCCAACTCTGAAATTATACTGGGAGAACAAAAAATTGGGCATAAAATTGCTGCTACATGGGTACAAAGCTCAAAGGAGAATTTACAGCCTCACAGTATTAGGAAAACAAGAATTTGAATTCAGGGCCTGACAAGGAGAAAAGAACCATGAAATACCTCAAGCTTTCAGAGAAGAGTCAGGAAAATCTATAACCTAGGACTGGGGGCAACTATAAACAGATCATCCTCAACTGGATCAAGATGATCTTTCCATACTATACTGGCATGAAAGTACTTAGATCCTTTGTAAAAGAAGATAATACAATCCAGAGAGTACAATTATTATAGACAATATGCATATTTTTTATTTTAAAATTACCAGTCTTACCAGGAAACATGACCAAAATTACTAAAAACCAAGTGAAAAAAAAAATACTGCTGGGCATGGTGGCTCATACCTGTAATCCCAGCACTCAGGTGGGTTCCAGGTCAGTCTCAACTACATAGTGAGACCCTGTCTCAAAAAAACAAAACAAAACAAAAACACAATAGAAGTATGTACCTACAGATGATCCAGATATGAGAGGTATAACAATTAGACTTTTTAGTAACTCTCCAGGCATGGTGGCACATGCCTGTGCCTGAGGAGCCTGAGGCAGGTGGATTGAAAGTTTGAGCTCAGCCTGGGCTACTTAGTAACTTAGTGAGTCCCTGCTTCAAAATAGAAAATTAAAAAGGCCTTGAGTTGTACCTCAGGGCAAAGGCTCTGGGTTCACTCCCCAGTACAGAAAGAGAAAGAAAGAAAGAAAAAGAGAAAGAAAGAAAGAAAGAAAGAAAGAAAGAAAGAAAGAAAGAAAGAAAGAGAGAGAGAAAGAGAGAGAGAAAGAAAGGGAAAAGGTTCCAAAATAAATAAAAAGATAAAGTCTAAGAAGAAATCTAAAAGAAAAATAGAGACTAAGAATCTATGGTAAATCCTAGAATTAAAAAATAACTTGATTGAAATGAAAATCAGCAGACGGGTTTAAGAAAGAAAGAAAGAAAGAAAGAAAGAAAGAAAGAAAGAGAGAGAGAAAGAGAGAGAGAAAGAAAGGGAAAAGGTTCCAAAATAAATAAAAAGATAAAGTCTAAGAAGAAATCTAAAAGAAAAATAGAGACTAAGAATCTATGGTAAATCCTAGAATTAAAAAATAACTTGATTGAAATGAAAATCAGCAGACGGGTTTACACTGGCTTAGAAGACACATGGGAGAATATATCAGTAAAAATATCTGGACTAAATTACAGGGGGAAAGTATGGTAATACATAAAAGATATATGAGACAGATAGATCATAATGTCTAACAGACACATAATGTAGTCTTAGAAGAAGACATGAGAATGAGGGGGTTCTATGATTTATATCTGGAATGTCCCCCAAAAGACTCATGTGTTCAGAGGTTGGGCTGTTGGAAAGAGATTGTATCATGGGGACACTATGCTCATCAGTGGATTAATCTACCATAGAGTTTGGAGCCGGATGTGCTGTTAGTAAATGTGGTCTGGTCAGAAGAGGTGGTCACTGGGAGTGTGAGCTGGAAGAGCGCATCTCCTTCCCTTGCTCCTCCTTTTGCTCTCTCTGCTCCCTGGCCACTGTGACCTGATCAGAATTCCTCTGCCATACCCTTCCACAATGCCCACCCTTGCCTTGAAGCCACCCAACTATGGACTGAGTCCTTGAAAAACTGTGAGGCAAATAAACATCTCCTCCTTTAACTTGTGGGTATTGGGCATTTTGTCCAGTGACAAGGAAAGTGACTCAAAGACAAGACAATAATACTGAAGAGCTCCTGGCCAAAACTTTTACAGAATTGATGAACGACATCAACTCAGATTCAAGCCTTAGAAATCTGAAACATAAGAAACCCAAGGAAAACTACACTTTGGAATATCACAATAAAACCTATGAAAACCTAAGACAACAATGGCACAAATTATCAATGTCTGTCATCACAGATCTTAACAATATTACATAGATAGGCGAATATTATGAACATTTTATGCAAATATAGTAATTTAAATCTTGTGAAAGAAATGGGATAAACTCCCTGAAAATCACAATTTGCCAAAAATAATATAGAGCAACTAAATAGTTACATTTTTATAAAGGGAAAGTGAAAGCTGGCCACGATAGTGCATACCTATAACCCTAGCAGTCAGGAGGCTGAGGCAGAAGGATTACTGTGACTTTGAGGACAGCTTGGGCTACATAATGAGTGCAAGACCAGCCTGAACTACATAGCAAGACCCCCTCTCAGAAACCAACCAAACAAACAAACAAACAAAAAGTAGTTATCTTGGGCCAGGAATGTAGCTCAGCTGCACAGCATCTGCCTGGCAAGCATGAGTCCCTGAATTAGATTCCCGGTACAAAAAAAAAAAAAAAAAAAAAAATAAAAAAAAAAGTTATCTTTAGAGGGTAATGTTTAGGAGAAAACATGATGAAAATATTTAGACTATGGGCAATACTCTGTGTGTGTGTGTGTGTGTGTGTGTGTGTGGCATTTTACTAATCCTTCACTAATTCATTACTCCATCTCACTGAGCTATAGTTTAAGAGGTGGCATTTTATGGGCCAGGGATTTAGGTCAGTGGCACCATGCCTGCCTCATAAGCACAAGGTCCTGAGTTTGATCCCCAGTACCAGAAAAAAAAAAAAAAGTTGGCATTTTATGTATGTTAAAACGTTTCTAACAAGTAAAAATATTTTTAAATGGTGAATGTAATTGTATTGTTTACCTTAAGTATACCAATAAATTTAATGGAAAAAACTATTCTTTTTGGGGGAGTTGAGACAAGGTCTTGCTTTGTAGTGCAGGCTGCCTTTGAATACACTATGTAGCCCAGGTTGGCCTTGAACTTGTGGCAATCCTCTTTCCTCTGCCTCCTGAATGCTGGAACTACAGCCGTAGGACACCATGCCTGTCCTAAAAACATTCTTTTAGATTTCAAAATATAAGCCAGCTCTCAAAAGTGAAGGAAATGGGCCAGGGATTTAGTTCAGTGGCACCACACCTGCCTGGCAAGCACAAGGTCCTGAGTTTGACAGTACCAAAATAAATAAATAAATAAATAAATAAAGGAAAGGACAAAAATACCAAAGGGGTGTATTGAAAAATGATAGAATGCTAACAAAGCCAGGTTGTTTACCACTTGCAGCCTGTACTGAGAAAACGCTTGCCATCCATTCTTACTGAACTGTAACAAGACCTCAGGAGCCTGGTGTGGTGGTACATGCCTGTAATCCCAGCATTTTGGAGGCTGAGGCAGGATGAATGCTATGAGTCTGAGGACAGCCTAGCATCTGTAGTGAGTTCAAAGCAAGCCTGTGCTACACTGCAAGACCCTATCTCAAAATAAAACAAAAACAAAGACCTCATGAGGCAGATGCTACATTTCACAATTTAGAGAAGCTGAGATTTAGAAAACTGAAGTCCCTTGCCCAGCTCACATAGCAGTGGCACCAGGGGCACCAGGTTTACCTGATTCTTCTTTCACTTTTAACCACTCAACACGCCACCTGCCGAACAGGTTCTTTTCCAAGAGTTAAACAAGCCAACATCTAATATCCAAACTAATAACTACCAATTAACTTCTAGAAGCCTGGCACAAGTCTTCTCGGCTACCTAAGAAGCCAGTATCATCTCCATTTCCAGGAGGAAAACTGCACTGTTCCCAGGACACAGCTCTTTTTTTTTTTTTTAACAGTCTTGCTAAATCTTTAAATTGGTCAGGCTGAGCTCGAATTTGTGATTCTCCTGTCTCAGACTGCCAGGGTGCTGGGATTACAGGCATATACCCTACACACCCTGAACCACATTATCCTTCTTCGTTGGAGACCAGTTTTGCATATAACCCTCTTCCTCTAACCATAAAAGTTGGGTTTTGCCCCCTACTCTCTCCAAAAAGGAATGAAAGCAAAGATTTGAGAGTAAAGCTTTTGAAATACTAATACAAGGGCGCTAAGCAGACCGAGTCTGGACCACCAGGCTGGACGTCATTGTGACGCCGTGAGACCTGGCCTGGAACAAAGGACAGCGAGAGCATGGGTCGAGAGGAAGGTGGATAGAGTCCCTCAGTCCAAGTTCCCTTTGCTTGGCCCTATTTCACGAAGGATTAACGCCGAACAGAGGACCACACCGCAAAAGACTAAACAGCCTCTTTGCGCCAGGAGCCACAAACACCACAACGGTCTAGCCCTTCGCTAGTGCGCATGCGCCCGCCCCAAAGGCC